ACAAGAGTCAAAGGGGAGGAATCAGGTGCTTTCAGAGGGCGAGTTATCTGATCTTACTATATTTCTGTTGCAGACAAAACTAGTTATCCTTTGCTCTTGTTTCTCTCGGTTGACTATAAAGGGAGCCTAGGCAACCAACCCAGAGGTTGTCATCTGATCTGTAGATACATACATCAAAACTGACAAACCCACCCTGCTTCTTTTCTTCAACATAATGTACAGAGACTTTTGTTAACCTAATAGGTAGATGTTGTTTTTAAAAAGGCATAATTTGCAAGTCAACTACACCAATGTTCAAGATTTCCAAATGGTTCTTGTATGAGGAATAACAGTTGTGCTGGTCTCTTAATATCAGTAAATACTGGCTTACAGTTGTTTTTACCACTTACAAAAGCAAATTGAGACACGTATCACCTTTTTCTTTTCTTTTTCTCCCTTATAGAAATGGAGACTTCATACCTGTTAATAAAATGTATTTTGATTATCTTAGCCCTCACAGATTACTCTATCGGCTTGCAAGTCAGAAAAGAAATGCTTTCTTTTCTTCCACTGCGATAGTTTGAAATTTTATACATTTATTATTGATCCACTAATCTCAAGTTCAGATATGGTTATGGTTATTATCCTTCAATCTAGCCTCCTATGTGGAAAAAAGCCACAAAAGTCAGTTCGCCTGAATGCAGTTCGCTGCTGTAGTTAATCACTCCCATTTGAACCTCATTTCTCATTTAAAACTGAAGGGCTTTTTACATTCTACATTAGTTCTTTTTAGTTTTTTTTTTTCACTACTAGATTAGACTCATTTAGTACTTATTATTTTCTCCCTGTGCATGCAATTATAAACCATAATCAAGCTTTTTAAGTATCTCTCAGTCAGATATCTTCTTCCGTCCTTTGAATCGTTCTTCTGAGGAGCATTTACCAAACATGTTAAATTATGTAGACGCATGTAGAAATATTATACAGGAGTACACAAAGTGACCTTTCAAAGGGGTACTGATTGTGGCATTTACAAAAATCATCTGTTTATACCTTTGAAGGGTGTCACTGAAATTAATGAGTTGCTATTACTGCTACATGACGGACTCCAACGTCAGGCTAGCTAGATATGGAGAGGAAAAAATAGTACAGGGATTATAGAATATGTTTGGGACCTAGATTTGCTCTTACAGGGTAGCCCTGTGACCTTGGACAGATCTGCCTTTTTAACACCAAATATCTCTAAATCAATTTTGTTGGAATGGTGCTTACAAAAAAAAAAAAAAAAGATAGTTTCAAGATTAGCAGGTATTGCACAGTTTCCCAAACTAACTCAGGGAAGTTATTTTTTGGAATATGGAGGCTTTCATCTTCCATACTCTAATTTGAATTCCAAAATGGCTTTTAGTATTTGGATTATTTGTTAACAACCTACCAATTTTTAATCTAGCCAGTTTCCTTTTGTACAGTATATACTTGTAGTTTTTTCCACTTTAATTTCCTCAAATCTGTCATGAATGCAATACATGAAAGACAAGGAAACACAACCATGATCGGTCACCATAAAACACATTAAGAAACTTTGCCACAATTCCTTTATCCCATATTTTTTTCAAGGGGAATAACTGCCTAAGAATCATCTTTTTCCTTAACTTATACTTCCTTAAATCTTCTATCCATCTTAGATGGTCTCTACTTCTGAGGTAACAATAATTTATTCTCCAACTGAATCCTGAAAAAGTTATACACTTAGTCTTATTCAAACGCTGCATAACAGAGAGAGCCATCATTAGAAAAGTTAAACTGTTTTACTAGCTAGAATCTTAACTGGTGCATTAAGCAAACAGCATAAGGTTCATTTTCACAACTGAATAATTCTGAACATCACCATTAAAGTTAGATGACTTCCAAAACACACAAAGGTAGCGTTCATCATAGCATATACTTGGTCTTCTCATCTGCTTTCAAGCCCGTAATTAAATATCCTGAGGGGTCTAATGAATTTTTAAAACAATAAATATTTATATTGTGATATGAACATAGCAAAGGGATTTAATAAAGAGCCCAAAATTCAGGAATATACAATTTAAAAGTGTAACTCCGCAGCTGCTCTGCATACACCTGAAGTGAGAGTGTCCATACCTACAGATTTCTGAGCTGTTCACCTGCAACTGCATCAGAAGAATGAATTTAGAGACGTTTTTTCTTTTCTTCTTCTTCCTTTTTAATAGACCTTCAATATCAGTACTGGGGTCAGCGATTTGGAGTCTGCATATTCTCTCTCAGTAAAAAGAACAACAAAAAAAAATCCCACAAAAACACGAGAAACAGCTACCCTCATATTAAGAAAAAAATCTCTTAAGAACTAAGAAAGAAGATAATTTATCAATTGAAAAAAAAAGACCAGTGATTGGTCTTTAAAAGACATTCAGGGGTCAGGATCTTTGACAAGCAGATAACGGCAATAGCACAAGTTACCACTCACTTTTGTAACAGAAAGTTATGAGCTATTGCCTTAGCAGGCTGCTGCCTGAGAAAACCTTCTCAATAGTTCCCTATGCTCTGCATAGGAGGAGGGAAAAAAAATCAGAATATGGAGGTCAGTAAAAAAGAAATCTTCCCTTTGATTTCACAAAGGGGCCAGCATTTCATTTCAGGTAGATCCCTCCTTCTTGATTCTAAGTTTCAGTTAAGAGTATAAATTTAGGGAAGATCATTTATCATGTTATATCAAAAGGCATAAAACATTGGAGAACCGTTTAGCTCTGGAAAGTAGAAACTTGAATTACATGGACTGATTTACATTTGATTTTGCTCAAGGTAATAAAAGTAGAACCTTGTTTAGTCAGGAATCCTAGCTCAGGAGCTTTCTGTCTTGAAAGAGCATGAATTATTTTGATTACTTGATATAGTAAAAGATTTCTGAGAAGTTTTGACAGACACCTTTATTAAATCTCAATTTTAATTTCATAAATCTCAAGTATGTCTCTGACTGAAAGCTAGAGGCTTCCATTAAGCCCGTTCCCTAATTTGCTATTTTTAGTAATAATGTCACCATTTCATGCATTCTTAATACTTTCCAATGATGAACCTAAAAGAGAATTACACAGCAAAGCAGCTTTATTTCTGCCCTTGGCTACAGTTTCTAAGCATTTTTAAAATACAAGTTTGCCAAGGATGTTCTCTCAACTTGCAATCCTATGGAAAGCCTGCCTGAAGACAGGGCTCAGTGCACTGCAAACTCATTCAAGTACCTAAGCTTGCACAAACATGTATCATCTTAGCAATATGTCTTTTAACACTAAATACCGTAAATAATTTCCAACACCAAAGGGTTTTCTTCTCCCTATTTTAGAATTGCAGCTGTCTTGGATAAAGCTGCTGAGCTAGTGAAAGAAATCCTCAGCCCCTTGAATCAACTCATCTTTTTCATAATCTTGAAGTCGGAGATATCCTGATTCTTGTTCTGCGCTTGTTGAGCTGTGACAGTGCCAACAAAAACCTAAAACGAATACTAAAATATTAGAAAAGATTGTGAAGTGGTATGTGGAGAGACAGCAACTCTCACGGTTATATTCAATCCTATTTATCAGCTGATGTGTGTGTATCTCTCTCTATATATGTTCTCTCTCTATATATATATAAACTTTACAACTTTGTATTTTGATCTTTCAGTTTTCAGTTCCTTCACCTGGAAGGACAAGAAGTTTCAGCCTGAAAACATGCTCTGCAACACCCTTTAGAAAAAAGCATGACTTCAATTCATACAGTCACAGCACACTATTAAGAACACTTATGATCAAAACTATTCCTCCAGTTTCAATCACAAACCTCATTAAAGCTGTATGTAACAGGGAGATGCCCACCTTAGGAAGAACATAACACTACTGGAAACACTGTTGTGCAGACTGAATGCATTTTAGGCAGCAGGCTGATGTCCTTGCTCTAAACCTTTTAAGTCAGGAAACATCATGTAAAACTCAGATCCCAGAACACAGACTCAGGGCTGCTGTCTCACCACGAAGGCTAAAGCCATCAGGGGCAGCATAGAAATAGCTGTGATACACAGAAATATAGATATATACAAATAGCTGTCATATATTAAAAATAAGTCATACTAGCAAAACATTTTAGCATTGACTCCAGGAAGCTCTGCTGTTGATGCAATTTTATTGAATAGCAGTCCACCACTCCAGAGTGAAAACTTGATGCCTTATTCATTAAATGGTTCACATCACTCCTCAGATGAGATGGTGTTGGTGATCTTAGTGTCCGGTCCAAATCACAGCTAGTGAAATTGCATTCTGCTTATCTAAACTCCTCCCACAGTATTTATGTACAATTTTTATACCTGGCTAGCATTTAAAACGTTAGTCACTGTTCCACATCAGAGGTTCCTGCCTATTAGTGTGAAGGGAATCCATTATTATACATATCTATTGCTCTTATTCACTTTTTTAAAAAATTAAATTTTACCTTTTTTAATTTAAGTAGTCACCATCTGTTGCTGTGGAAAACATTACAGAAATGCAGTTGTTGTATAGTGAAAGATGGCGGCAAGGCAAACCTTTTAGGATGAGAGTAACTGACAAAATTGCGTTAAGTGTTCAAAGGTAAAACGATATACAGTTTTTTATGCTATGGTCAAAACTTTTTACAACCTATTGAAAACGGTATCATAGTCAATCAAGATACTTTGATCGGTGTGAAGAATAATAGGAAGACTTAATTTTCTCCCACAGCCCCCTCAATTTCAAAGGCATTCTTCAATAGTCAGTATATTGTATTGGAAAATATCAATGTATGTTGAAGAAGAGATATTTAGTGTGAGGAAGCTATTAAGTGATATTGCTCATTTTCAAAATAAATGTAAATGAGGCAGGCTCAAGTTATGTTCTTCTGGAAATGAATTTGATATTCAGTGAATATAGGTCAGACAAGCGACAGAAACCCATACCTGACATACGTATGAGATGACACTCACGCTTGGCAAGCAGCATTTACAAAAAGAGCACAAGAAATTAAATTACCAGAAGTTTATTTCTGTTACAAATTATCACAACCACAATTAATATAAAACAGAGAAAGCACTGAGGAAATATGACTGTTGGATACAAGACTTATCAAGGCATAAAAGCCTCATTGAAGATTCTACCACTAGAAAACAGGTGATTGTATAACATTAGAAGAGAAAGCATTTCTATGCAAAGACCGAGTGAAAGAGAATAAGCAGTACACTATAGTCAACAGGCATTAAAATATGCTCATGTCATATAACAAGTTTCTGAAGGAAATGGAAGTTGGAGTATTATTTCTAACGAGGAGCCTTGTTTTGAGCAGGCCTGTTTACAATCAGCTAATAGGAAAATGAAAGGCTTCAGCATGAAACACTGCTCTTCATTTTAACTTATCCATGTTGCTCACACGTTAGACAAGCTATTTCCAAAAGCGTATTTAAACTTTAGTCATGAGACTTCACACACTCTCTCTCACGCTTGCTGCATAAGGCTAAAAAAGTCACTGAAGGAACATGAGGTTGCGTTATTGCTTGTTACAAGAACTGAAATGTAAATTTTTTATTGAGATCCAAATAAAATACTGTTGTCACTGAACAATCAAGGGTTTATATACAATTATTTTAAAAAGTCTATAATGTTATACACTTTAAGGCTTTCATACAAGAGATACAGAGCAGGATTTTCATATTCCGAAGCCAGTCTCGTTGCCTAGGTACGCTGACCAGTACAATGCTCTAAGCCGTCCGTAATTAATACGGCAGAAGTCCCTGAAAAAGAGCAAAATGGAATTTATTTGTATACATCTGGAGATTAATGATTACTGATTCTCTGGAGACTGCCAGATCACTAGCAGTGGGACCAGGCAATTAAGTCTGTAATAAATGTATGTAGATTTATGGAAACTATTGCAGAAACTGCTATCACTGTAATTCAGTGCAAATATGATCAAAAGGTTCTGTTCAATGAAGGCAAATTAATGATATGATTAATTATAATGATTAACGTATTTATCTGACCAGTGACACGTAGCAATCGATCAGTGTCAAAACACAAAATCCTACTAGAACGGATGACTAGGTAAAGTTTGTCACAATAGAGGAAGGCTGATTTCTACACTGATTAAAAGAAATTCTTGATTTAGGCACCTTTTTACATTATTTTTCTCCCTATATGAAAGCTAACCAATACCATCTCACAGATTAATCCAAAGAGGAAACAACCAAACAAAAAAAAATCCTAAACCAAACAGAAATGCAATACCAAAACACAATGCTAATGCATGTTATTTCAGGAACTGTCAAGAGAAGTTTTGTACTGCAAATCTGCATTTTCTAAGAACACCTAAAAGCAGATGTCTGAACTGATGTAATTTATTGTATACACATGTATAAGACATGAGCACTTACACAAACTTTGTAAAGAGAGGAATAAAAGCAGACTTTTATTAGTAGAAGATGGATGAGTGTGAGGGATTGGAAGAGGGGAGACAATGGTTTTAAAATTCATACCATGCTATTACGGTCAGTATATACGCAGACTTTTTTTCTTATATGTATGACATTTAGACTCTGCAATTCATTAAAAGAGCAATCAAAATTGGCCACAAGTGTTAACTTTTTGGTCAAGGCGAGTCACAGTTACTTAAAGGGAGCCCTGTATGGCCACAGACCACGTGCAAGTGCAACATTCACAGGCTTTTTTGGGACAGAGCAGCAGCGAGATGGCAGAAAAGGATGCTATTCCATTCCTCCTCCCTACAAGGAGGCACAAAGGAAAGTTGCCATCAAGAAACATGACTTGGGCAAACATTCTGGCAGGCTGAAGTCACTTCCAGTTCAGTCATTCCTCTATTAGTCATCCCTGCTACTCGGTAGTTTATATTTAAGTTCATCAAGTTTCCTCGTATGCCATTTATGTAAAACTTCGTGTTTACCAATAAAGACTTCATATGACTTATGTAACGCTTCCTGATATTATGCAACTTTGAAGATGTCAACAGAAAGAGATCTGACCAATATGTATTTTAACATGAACACGTATACTCATTCAGCTGTAGCAGCTCTAGCTAGCCTTACTGTTACTGAACCTCTGCCCTTTGAGAAATCTTGTTTGACCTCTCTCAACCTTTACAGGGTCCTTCTTTAAATCTTTAAAATGGTCTCAAAATTGTTCTAAAGCTATTTTTCAAATGTAAAAGGTTCTTCCTGCCTGCCTGTGAAAGCAATCACCTGTGGTATCCAGAATCAGTGCAATTTATGCAATATTTCAAAATATAGAGCTCTAATGCATAAATTAAAGACACTAAGGCTCCTGAAATTAGTAGAAAGAATTACCACTCCAAGCATAAAATAAAGACAAAACCCCTTACACACGTGCATACACACACACACACACACACACTTAGTTTGAGCACAAGTGGAGCTAAATTATATTTTATGTATTAAATTCATCAGAAGCAGTAAGGAAAGCTGTTTCACAGCTAATGTCTCTCAGTGGACTTGCCCTCCTTCATTTGTACTAAAATGCAGTTCACTCCTTGTGCAGAAATGCTTGACTTAGAAAATTATGTTCTACAAAACGCTTTCTTCAGCTTTGTCAAACAAGCTTACAGACATGTTTGCTGACTGGATTAGTTAAGTTTTCATCTGAACACTACGAGCATAAGATCACATTCATTTTCTCTTGTCTTTATCTGTCTGATGAAACTACTTAGTTGGTTCAAATGTAGTCAAAGCGAAGTATAACTTTTAATTTCTAATCACAGGTGCAGTTAAACAGTAAGCACAAAAAAACAGCTTATAGGACAGTGTCCACACACCAGGATAGTTTAATGTCATATTACTTTTTAAAGCTGTGATTTTTCCAGAAGAATTCAAAATAGTCAATAATTTTGATCAGTCTTGGGGTCAGCACCTGTAACCATTATGTAATTAAAGCCCTAGGTATAAAAAAAATTGAGGACCTGACTGAAAGCCCCATCATTTATCTCAATTTCACAGATGACTAAGATAGATACCTACCAAAGCATCAGAAGATTAAGGTTTTTGTTCTCCTGGCTCTCCAGGGAGTTGGGTTTCCTGACAAGAGGAAAAACAAATTTACTAAATATGAGAGACTTTCAAATAAAAACTAAAAAACAATGTAAATGCACTATAATTAAAAGAAACTTAATGATTAATGAAAAGCTTTAGATAACATTTGTAAGTTACATTTAAGTTACTAGAATTTATGGAAAAAGAATATACTAACAAGCTGTTGGTTATGAGGTTTTACATTTTTTTAATAGGGAAGAGTTTGCCCAAATTAAACTAACTAAGCTAAGGCTTTTTAAATTACTAACACAAATTGAACGTTTTAAAAGGAGAATTTAGGTGATCTTGAAGCCTTTCCTAAATTCTAAAATGAAACTTTCTAGGTTGTAGTCTCCCTGTTTTTATTGGTTATATTAAGATAAATTAAGTGAGATTAAAATCTTATTTGATTTATTTACCTTTGCAAATGAAGACCGTTTTAAGGGTTACACATCCTCTGCCTCTGACGAAAGCGACCTCAATTAGTCAAGTCAGAAAGTCTTTAAAAGCTTTGTGTTTATTGCTTCCAGCACGGAGCGAGGTGGTCATTAACGTACCAAAATTCTCATAAAAATTCCAAAGTTGCACTATTGAAAAAACGCTCAACAAGATGAAAACTAGTCACATCTTTTTCAGAAAATTCATTATCTATTTTAAACCATTTTTAACAGAAATGTTTTGATTTAATGTGGCACTCAAGCAGATCCATACCATTTGGATACTTTAAACATCATTTAAATCTACTGTGAGTATATAAGTGTACATTTAGGTTTATACCATTTTTTTTTAAGTTGTGCAATGTTTAATATGAGCCTTTTATGCTGATCATTGTTAAATGGATTTCTCCCTGTTTACTACTATTTATGAAGTTTTATTATAAAATAAAGCATAAAATTAATCTCACACACACTGTTTTTCTTTCAAAAGTTTATTTAGTATCAAGCAAGGGTAAAACTTTGCTTAACACTACAGAACATTTCAAGACTTGAGTTACAAAATACCACATTATTTGCATTTGTACTTTGCTTCCCTTTTTACGCATATTTGCAAAGAGAAAAACTAGCAAACGGCTGCAAATAAAAACTAAAAACTAAATTGTTGAAAACCTTTAAAATAAAAGGTTACGCTTATGTTAAAAGAATGGACTAACATATTTAGTAAACCTAGTTTTTTTTAACACTAGTTAATCAAAGGTTATTTTTTTGATTGCCTATTTTTCAAACACAGTTTGGAAATAACAAAATTCCTTGTTTTACATATCTTTCTGTCCAGGTTGTTCTTTCAACAACATATTTTAAGTTCAGTCCATCCATTCAGATTTTTAAGCACTTTGATTTAATAAAAAGGGATTGTTCATAGAAAAAAATTACTTTGAACAGTATACAGGACTGGTGGAGATTGGATATTTCACAACATCAGACAGTACAATCAGTATCTGGCATATGGCTGGTCTCTGTAGACTCCTTTTGTTGTCCTTGCCGAAGGTGCCTTGTGTCTTGAGTTGGTCCATTCGTCTTGCCCTACAAGAAGGGAAAACACAGTTAGACTTCTCTCACTGTTCCCCGAAACACTGTACTGAATTTTTTGGTCATTTAATTGTGAATTAATTAATGTGAATTAATTACTGAGCGCTGTAGAAACTGAAGTGCAGAACATGAACCAGGAAATCTGAGTACAACACAGGTCTATGTGAGCTACTCACAGAGCTCTTTCAATGTACAACAGTAGGCAGTGACAGCTGTGAAACCCTATTTAGGTCTCCAGCACTCGGTTGGGCCTGCCTGCCGCAGATGGAGAGAAATGCCAACTATAGTAGCAGACTAACAATTACGCTAAGAGGAAACGAACACAGGTTTCTGAATCAAATACAAGCGAATGAACAATCCTCAAACACATTTCTTTGGATCTGTACCAATTTAGGCTTAATTCAAATACACAATCGACAAGGGAAAAAAAAGCCTCATATTTCACTACAAAGACCTGTAGCTTCCAGCATAAGCTAGAGGCAACATCAGACTTCACTGCAAAAATACACTTCCTTGAAAATGCATAAGCTAGGAAGGGAGATTCTAAAAAAAATTAAAAGGGCAAGGGACATTGCTCATTTGAATTGTGACAATAAACAAAGTTTGTGAAAACTCCTTTACGTGCTATATTTAATGCTTCATAATCCTGTCATTCTAAAGGTAATATTAATAAAAAGTAACAATGTGCTAATAAATGAGAACTAGAGATCTACTGTGCCAGGTATTTACAACAAAAGGAAAGACGGAAGGCCAAGGGCAAAACAGGGTGTAACTACTGAAATAGAACTTAGGTGGGTTTTAATTACTTAAGGCCAAATCAGAGTACTGTTTAGCCCTGGAGAGGAATAAGGGGTAGGGGGGGAGCCTGCTCACACTCCTGAAAATAGTGTATGTGCTTCTCATTCTGCTCTTTGAGAATACCTAAGTGAACCCCAAGCAATCCAGAAAACAGAGGTGGAATTCCAACGACTAGATATGGTCAACCGACACGTAGACATCACCCTATCTGTCTTTCTATTGAACAGAAAGTAAAAAAGTCAATAGTCAAAGAACCCCTGAACTTCTCCAAATGGGCTATGTAACTTCCTCAGATACCTCAAATCAGGTGACAGGGATCCTACAGTAGAAGAAGTTCCAGAAGGCCGAATTTCATAACACCTTTATAAAAACCTCATCTGAGCTACCTCAACTTTTAAGATTCAGGTGTTGCTTATGGAGCATAGATTAAATATCCCATTAAGTGGACAGAACATTTGCCCAGGAGGTAAATGGAACAAATTCAATTCTGCTGCCACGCTGGAAGAATAAAACTCATAACTGAGAGTTCCCCACCATTTAATTACAGGATAACAAGCGTGGGAATCAACCCCTTGTGCTTTGCTGTCACAAGCAAAGCAAGATTCAAATCAAGAAAGAATCCGGTACGAACAGTTCAGGCAGCTGGCTGAGGGGAAAGCATTAAAGAAAATCCCAGATTTTAAGCACTGCTGCTACAAGAAACCAAATTTAAAAAGCATTCTTGATTAAGCAGCAAGAACAGTCAAAGAGGACTATTTGCTCCTTTTCAAGTGACTCCTTTATTTGTTTTCCTTTTGGTGCCATTAGGGGCTCTGAATCCTAAAAAAACCTCTTCTTCCTATATCCTCTGGACTTCAGCTTCTCAAAGGAGGAAAAGTTCAGATACTTCCTAGGACACTGTTTGCTCCTGGCCAGCTCTAAGCAGCTATCTACTCAGTAGGTAGGGATATGAATCTTATTTTAAGGCACCTAGTATTCCTTATGTACTGTATAGGTGATGACTGGTATCTAATTCTTCGTTTAAGGATCTATTTGCATTAAGAAATAAAGTGTCTGACTTATAGGCACAAAGACTTCATTGGTTGTAATCCATAAACTTTCTCCAAGATATTTACAATCTTCCTTTCAGTATGAGGAAATAATAATATTCTGAGTGGTTCCTCCTTAAAAAATAAGTTTTAATAATTATATAAATTATTATAATAAATGACAAATAGAAAAATAAATTTAAGCGCAAAAACAATGAAAAGAGTCTGTATTTTCAGTCTTAAATAATGCATTTTACCTTTTTTCCCTCTTAGTCAATTCTGCCTACATTAAACAGTTCTGTATGCTTTTCTCCTATCAATTTTCCATTAATGAAATACTCTTAGAAATCAGACTTACATTGGATAACAATTTATTTCAATGCTGAAATACAAAGTGATTTCAGATATATATCTATCAAGATCAATTTAAAGTCCTGGTAGACAGAGGAACTTCAAGTGACCTCTTCTTTTGATGAACTGATCCTTCTCTTTAGCAAGCTGAATTAGTTTAAGTAGATGACATTAAGCAAACCTCCACATTAGATGCATTTATCACAACAAACAAATCTTAGTTGAGGTCATTTTTGTTTTCCCACAGGAAACACTACAAAATGAAGCTTAAGAAATAACACCATAAAATACTTTCACATGGGTCCTAAAATCACTGTAACATCCATTACCCAGAATCACAACTCATATTAGTTATCCTCCAACGTTGGAAGCTCTTGAGTGATCAACAATTTGAGTTTCTCTCATCTCTAGCCAGAGATTTAACATCTATCTCTTAAACAAAGGTGCCTTTTAACGTGTTTCATGCTTCCAAACCATAACACATTTCTTTAATTAAACCTGTCACCACAGTACCTCTAGTTCAAAAAAAAAAAAAAAAAAGTAATCTATCCCACTGGCATATGTCTTTTGCTTCATTATACATTGTTTTGTCTCCAAGAGTTACCCACTGTCCTCACGTCAAGTAGCTACCTGAAGTACTTTCATAACCTTTACACGATGACTCCCTGCTTGCTTTCATGAGAGTGCAGCTTGAAAGTGAACGAATATCAAAAGACCATACAAGTCTAAAACACACTCAGTTAGGCCCTGGTCTAGTAGAGAACTTCAACACATTCTTAGCTTATACCGAGTTTGACACCAGCTGTGCCACACTAGGAACATTTCCTTTCATGGCTGAACAACTCCTGAACTAAGGCCATGTAACCTCTATTTTTTCTTAAATATCATTGAGTGTTATATGAAAAGGGTACACCCCCACCCCCACCCCCCCACTTCCACATGATTAGAGTAGCTAACAGACCATGGAAACCTCTTGCTGTACTTGTTGCAACAACTGCATGTAAAGCTCTGCGTCAGGAATCCCTGAACACTAGTTAACTGCTACAGTATTCAAGCTTTACTTAGGGAGATTCTTTTCTGATTATATTATTTTTTTCAGAAGTCTATCTTACTTTAGCCATACAGCTCATAATGCTACTCACCGTAAGAGTCATACGTTTCTTCATTCAGTCCATGCCCATAGAGCGGGAGGAGGAGGAAGAGGGAATAGGAAGAGAAAAAGGAACAAGATATAACAGTTACAATTTAAGAAATAATGCTTCCCATTTCATCCTATCTTTGAAAAGAAGAAAGCTTGAAGGCTGTAGGCATCTCCTCTGCTAAGCAAGCTTAGTGCCCAAATGACATAACGACAGCTTAGGTCTATTTATCCATTAACAAGAAGGGAAAACAAAGTCTAAAATTATTTACATTCACATAGGATTGTTTTATATCAATGAGCCCCTGGTCCACAGTGCTACGTGATGCTGTGGGATTTTTGTATTGAAGAAACCTTGGGAAATGAATATGCATTCAAAAGCGCTTTGCATTGCATTTTCTTAATTCATGATATCTTATGTAGTTGTTCAAACTTTACACTTCCGAACCAAAATCTTTTGGCAAAGTGCCTCCAAGCTAAGACAACAAAGCAATCTCTGTACATTTACTGAAAAATATCATTGAATCATCAACATAATTGACTCCACTCTTCCATGCAGAGATATGAACTGTCAGCACAGCTTACAGATGGGAAGGTCGAAGGTCTTAGAGTGCCAGTGAAGGAATAGTGTTAGGTCTGAGTATTGAACGTTAATTCCTTCGTCTTACAAACTTCTCTACTCACTACCTACCATTGCCTAGTATTTTGCCTTTGCATCTCTCCTCTTCATTTTGACAAGTCTATTAAAAATATCTCACTTTTGACCAGAGCAGTGAATTCAAAATCCTCTGGTACAAAACACAAAGGACAAGCAACGCATTGATCTGAGGGCTAAATACGCTGTGTCTCAGGTCCAGTCTTCAAAACAAGATGAACGTGCACATATTCAAAGACTCTCATTTTATTAATTATACTAGAAATAGCAACAGGAACTTCAGAGTTAAACAGAAATCTGCAGCAGCTGGGATTCAAGAATCTATAGTAATATGATAGCCATTCGCTAAAAGACTTCAAAATTCATACTGAGGCTCAGAAGCAGATATACTCAACCAATGGACTATGAAAAATCTTGAAACTGCTTTTAAGTGGAAAGCAATTTTGTAACTTTGGGACTTATTTCATAATGGCATTTTTATTTATATTAAGACCAGTGAATGGAAATCCCAGGACAAGCCTTATTCCATGTTACTTTTCTACTATGGTTTCATGTTTCATGTAACTGCTGCTGTGGATAGCCTTTAGAGTCTTCCATAGTCTACATGCAACAAAAGTCTATTAGACCTGTTTGGAGGACATCAAAAGCAAGTCTCTAAAATTGTTGTTATTATAAAAAAAAAGGACAGAAAGATAAATGATTGTTCAACATCTCATAACCTGATCAGGGCTGGCATTTGGAAAAGAAATACTTCACAAACCGATGCTACCAAATCTTTACCTTTAGACTGAGAAGGAAATCACGTTAACATATGATCACTAATCAGCAATTACCAACATTGACAAAATGTCCCTAACATGAGATTGATTACTAGCGTAAGATAAAAATCAGGGAGAAAAAGGCAATTTATAGTCTTAAAGCAAGTCAGCAGATAGAGCCTTCGTATAATATAAGTAATACTCAAATCACAATCAGTTCTAAGCTGAACAAAATTACAGGACAGACAGATCATTTGGTTTTTAACTAATAAAAGTTTTAAAATACAGAAAATAATCCAGGCTAGAAGAATGAATGTCCTAGTGTCTGCAAATGCATACCAAAACACGTGGATGAGTATTTGTTATTCCTTGCATGCGCACCAGCATTCTAAACAAATAAATAAAAAACAACAACCTAGACACTATCTATGGTTTGTCAGCCCGTGCAATGCAGACCAGCATAACAAGGATCAAATCTGAAGAATAAGAAATATAATTTTGTCCTGAAGCAGCCAGAGGTAAACAATCTTTATTCAGACAGTTAAAAACTTAAAACTGACATTGACTATCATTTCACATGGTATTTGATTAAGACTGTCATCTAGTTTAGAAGTATATAGCAGCTGAGCCCTATCGCTGTATCTGTCAATCCTGTTAGAATTACTTCAGCAGGATTTCATTTCACAGAACTAAAATATATATTAAACAAAAAATGGGTGATTTTATGGCATGTAAACGGCAAAACTAATAAACATTGGAATGGAAAAACGCTTTACTTACACTGAAAGTATACCATGATCCATCTTTATTAGTGGATAGAACCTTCAGAATTAATAATCTGCCCCAAAAGTACAAATTATAAGTGCTCTACTCTGAGCACTTTCATTTGTACTCTGTAAAGAAAGCAACACTAACACTCTCTGTATATTAAACAAATGTAAAACTTCAGAAAAGACAGTTGAAAGACTATGACCCAACGAGTACATGCAGACGCCTACAAGGAGTTATAGGTAAAAGCAAGTATGAATAAAATAACTTTTGTTTCACATGTAACAGAGTCTGTATTGGTCTTGGCTGTGAAGTCCAAGGGCTAAGATATCTTCGAATTTTCTGGGAGGAATTCTGCAAATAAATCTGGTATCATACATTAAGTTACTAGCAATTTACAGAACTGTGTTTTTTTCTGAAGCCAGCACCTGCTAAAAGGAAAACTAGTCAAAGGAACCCGTAATATCAGAAATAAGTTTCTCTCCAAACTGTATATTTAAACTCACTAACTGGGATAGCTGAGGTCAACTCTGTTGCGAGGAATTTAATATCCGCAATGAATGATTCTTTCTCTGGGCAGAAGGCATGACGTCAGAATAGGTGCCTTAAATTTGGAAACTACCACTTGAAAAATCATTACACATCAGTTATAGAAAAGACACTAGAACAACCTACCTATATGATTTCTCTTTGAAAATCAACCTTGACATTCTGGAACTTGCAAGTTCCATAGCATCTTAGGAGTTCTGACTGAAGATTGGTAATATTTTGTATTTCCTTTTAAGTGATCTATTCTGCAAGAGACCATTTTCTTCCTATTCCCTCCATTTCCTCTCGTAAAAGAGGAAAAAAACCCAAAACACACCCTCCTTCACCTTATGTGCCTCCCTCCTTTCAGAAGACAAGGAAAAACCTAGCACAGGATTCCCTTCCTCTAACCCAGCAAGGCTAAGCCTGGAATCTGCTTTGAGTTAATACACTTTTAGATGCAACGGCCTTGTTAAGACCATTTTCCTCAACTTTCTTTTCTTAAGTTTTTCTTACTTCTCCAGGTGCCTATAAGCAATTTCTGCCTAGCAGCAGATGGGAGGCAGTACCTGAAAAATTTGTGGTGTCTATTTTTTGTACACAGATATCTATTACTTATTATAGTCAGGTGAGCTTTTCAAGTGTTTTCCTGACCACCAAGTAAGGAGTATAAGTATAGTCAACACTGGAATATCAGCTGTGTATCAGATCTTCTGAACAGACAGAGCCCTTGTTTGTATCTATTCATAATTAACGTCCTTTGTATTCCCATGCTGACACAATGCCTTTGGTCTGACAAGAAAGAAAAATGAGCAATAAGGAAAAAAGTTTCTTTGATTCTCTGTGTCAACATTAAAAACTAGGAACCACCCAAACCACTCACTCAGTGGTACAAAGAGATTAGCAAACAATACAATACAGTATGCTGCTTCTAATTGCAGAGAGCTGGACATTAATCCTAAAATGCTTAGAGCAAGCATGAAGTGAGTCCTAAGTAGTTTTAATATACCCAAGGGGAAAGTGTCTGCTCTCTCTGTCCAAGAAGGAACTTGAGGTCTAGTAGAGCAAGCTCATAGATTGTAGCACCGCATCACTGATGAAGTAAACCCTTAAAAGAGCCATTTTCTCTAGTAAACAGAAGACTGGGAAGCTAACTGTTAATCTTCTAGAACTATTATGTCTTGTGAGGAGTTTGTCTCAAAATACTAATAATGTAGACGTATTCCAGACAGGAGGTATTCAAGACACATTGAATATAACCTAACTTTGTCAGGCATTTCTGCTGAGCTGATGGTTTCTGAAAAAACCCCGAGGAGCCGTAATTAAAGAATAAATCTTTACTAAAAAATGAAATAGCAATGATTGTTCTAAGCATTATAGTTAAGTCTTAAGGAGCATGTACCTTTACTACTATGTCAACTACTAGCTTCTTCCGACTAGAGATGCTCTGATGCTCTCTTGGTGAGAGATATCAACAGAATGGTTCAGTTTCCAGAAGCTAACACTCGTGTGGGTGTCGGAATAACTCATTAGGCTATTTTGGGGACAACCCTAGAATCAGCATGCCAACCACACAGTGTTGATATTCTGTAGCAGTTGCATAAAATACATAGAGACAGATAGAATATATTGTGACTAATGAATGTGATTCGCATGGCCCTCTAGATGAGGAATCTTCTGGAATCAGGATTATGCCATTTCTATGTTTGAAATAGCAGCTAAGGGGTGACTAAAAGCTCTCCTACCGGCAGTTCACAGTTTAAAGGAAATGTCCAGGCTGTCAGCCGTGAACAAGTCTGGTTACCGGATTTCTAGGCACTAACTGACCTGGCACTTCTCTCCCCCTCAGCGATGAAAAACAGCTTCTTTCAAGTTCTCAATCAATTCAAGTTCTTGAATTAGTGTAATACATATCAGGGAAAAAAAATGGCAAAAAAAACCACACCCTTTTTTCTTGTGCACTTTGATATTAGAAGTAACTTTGGGGCTGATTCCTTTAGCTAGAAGTCAGGGCAGTTTTTCAAATTGACCAAAGAAAGCTACCAAACGGGGAACGCTACCTTTTTAAGAATAGCTCCACAAACATCGTCCTTCTCTTTCTAGAAAGATATAGCACAGAACAACAAAAAGTAGAAAGAAGAAAGGAGGAAGTTTCTAGCAAGAGGTCTTACCTAATAGACCCTGACTGATACGATCACATCTGAATAGAACTTTTCCACAAGGACAACGTCTTTGCCAGCTTCCTATCAGTTTTGCAGGCTCAGCTGGTTCTGATATCAAAAAACACCTATCAACAATAAGCAGGAAGAAGCATGTCCCAAATGTTAAGACAACTACTCACTATAGCAAAGCTTCTGAGATCTCCAAAATCTTCTGGAACACTGAGTGGAATACCTGATCTCGATGCTTTTGTAGATCGTTAAAACATTACAGATTCTGTAACTCAGCTTTCAGTATGGTAACAAAAGAACAGGGTATCAGGAGGAAACGCATGTTTTTTCTTATATCTTTCAGATAAAGTTTTATGTACTGCCCACTTCTTGGCACAACTATCTTGGGTAAACTACCCTCAACCCTGCATCTCAAGTTTTTCCCTCAGTAAACTGGAGACAATGACCTCGGAAAACAATTGAGAACTATATGTGAAAGTTTTATAAAATACAAAAATATGATGTGATATTCCTTAAATTACATCCCGTTGCAGTTTCTTATAATACCAATTGCAAATCTATTTCATATAATCTTAAAAGATGACCAGACTGCTCTCTCAAGGATTCCCTTAGCTATCGCTATTTAGAAACTACTTTATGGCAGTTGTAATAAATTCCACTTTTGTA